TTTCATTTTATTTTTGCTGATGAATATCCAATTGCTCCAGCACCATTTGTGGAAGAGTCTTTCACAAAATTACTTTTGCACACTTGTCAGAAATCAGTTGGGCATGTTTATGTGTGTCTGTTTCTGGGTTCTTACCCTGTTCTATTGATCTTGCATCTACTTCTATTTCAAAACCACACAGTTATATTACTGGAGCAACACAGTAATTCCAGAAGGTGGCTAGACAGAGTTTCTTCATTCTTTTTCCGATTGTTTCAGCAATTTTAGTTCCTTTGCATTCTATACAAAGGTGATGTAGATATTCAACGTTTTCTACCTTTTTTTCAAAAACTTCCTCTGATCCTTTTATTTTCTCTATCTAAATTTTGTTTCTTACATGTTTTCTAACCTTTCATTTCATGTAATTTCCCTGATTAAATTTTTCATTCAAAACCATTCCTCTGTTTACAACCGGTAGTTTATTCTTCATTTATTGAATTGCTTTGAGTTTGGTCAGTTGTTATTGCATTTCCCCTGTTTTGTTTTTATTGCATTTTTTTTTTTTGCAGAGGTCCATTTCTTTTTCTTTTTCTTTAAAGATTTATTTATTTATGCATACAAGAAAGAACAGGGGTACAGGCCAGAGGTATGGGTGGTGAGAGGATCCACCAGAGACAGAGTGGGGATCAAAACAGGCAGATTGACTGAAATACACTGCTGAGGGAAGCAGCAGGTGAGACAGGAGAGGTCTCCTGCGCCATGTGGTTTGCTCCCTGGCTGGGGATCGAACTCGTGCTGCGATGACAGCACTTAGCTTCATAGGTTGTGTCTTAGCCCTTGCACCACCAGGGAGGCCCAAGGTCCATTTCTTAACTAAAATATGTCTGATTCCAGGAGTGTGTGTACCCATGTGTGGATATTTTGTGTGTGTCTATCTCCATATGCTTGTTGAGAGTTGCTGTGGAGTATTGTCTTACAATTTTCTATTGTTTATTTGATGAGAATTTTTTAAATCAGCTTAAATATTTGTATTTCTATTTTTATAGTTTTTTTTTTTCTATAGGAGTTCAATTTTTCTCTAGTCCTTGGCATTTCATGGGCTGGGTTACTACTTAAAAAACACCCTTTCCAGGGCCTCCCCAGTGGCTCAGCGGTTGAGCACTGGGTTGCGAAGTTGCCCGCAGCCTCTGCAGCGCTGGTTCGATCCCCGGCTGCTCCCCGGCCACTGGAGGAGGGTCCCACATGGCGCGCAGACCTCTCCTGCCACCAGCTGCTCCCCTCAGCAGTGTACTTCAGTCCCTCTGCCTGCTCTGCTCCCTGCTCTGGCTCTGGTGAATTCTCTTACCCTCCCGCGCTTCTGACTGTACCCAGTGCATGTATAAACAAACAAACATAAATAAATAAATAAAACATGCCTCTAAAAAAATAGTACTTTTTTAAAAAAAATTATTTATTTATTTATACAAGCACTGGGTACAGTCAGAAGTGCGGGAGGGTGAAAGAATTCACTAGAGCTGGAGCAGAGAGCAGAACAGGCAGAGTGACAAAGTACACTGCTGAGGGGCGCAGCAGGCACGGCAGGAGAGGTCTGTGTGCCATGTGGGACCCTCACCGGCGGCCAGGGATAGAACCAGCGCTGCAGAGCCTGCGGGCAGCTTCGCAACCCAGCGCACTCAACTGCTGCGCCACCAGGGAGGCCCCAGAAAGACTAGTAATTAATGATTGCATTTATAGAACTGAAAGAGCTGAAAGAAAAATTATAGAAGTCTCATTAGCCCAATATGTCTACAGATGAGACTAAGAGAATGAAGTAATTTGCTTAAGGCAACCTTAGGAGTTATTAATAGAGATGGACCTGAAACCAAGTTCTCTTGTCTCCCACTTCCAAGAGCCCCTCCCATTACATGGCTCCAATTCTGGTTCAGTCTTTAGTGAGTTAAGTAGTAGCATGACCGTTTTCCTGTTGAGACAAAGGGAATTAAATACATGCCCAAGATCTTGCTTGTAGTCAGTAGCAGAAGCTGGTTGGAGAAAGCCAGGAGCCTTCTTGTGCAGCCTTTATGCATTCACTGTGCTGCCCTTGTTGGCTGTCTTCTTCCTTGCTGCCCTATTTCTTTTCTCAAATGCTTAATGAGCACCTGAAATATTTCAAATTTTAATTTCAAATTGTGGAGTTGTATTATTTTACAGAATTTACATCTAGTGCAGTTCATTTTAAAGGGACAAATGTGGATTAGAATTTCCATGGTGTCCACAGTGCAAGCTATATGTATTCTTAAAAAACAAAAGTTTACAGTTAGGCTATTCCTGCATTCCTCTGTAGCACTATAAGGTCTTGGTCTAACTGAACCACCAACTTCTGTCGGCTTGAAGGGCAGTGTACTTGCTGTTGTAGTTTCCTCACTATTGACAAGAGGCTTATCCTTCAAATTCTCCTTTGGGTGCTCTTGAAATGTGTACCTCATGTATGCCTAGGTTGCTTTATGTTGAATTTGCCTTGTGAGCCGAGGACAGCATGTTCTCCGCTGCGCCAATAGCACTTTCCCATATACACTCAGAGAAAGCTTTTCCCCCTCTCAACAGGGCTCAAAAGTCTTGACTGGAGTACTTCAGAAATAGGCCTGGTTTATACTTTTATAAAAACAAGCAGAGTCTGGCAATTCCTAGCTTGGAATAGCACTGATGATCTGAGTTTTTCTGAGCCCATGAATGGTGCTACCAAAAGACAAATGTAGAGCTCCCTGATTCCCACTCGCATGGGTGGGGGGAGGAGGAGGTATTGTCAACCTGCTTGGTGAAAATGAAGGTGGTATCTTGGGAAATGAGCAGCTAATGTTCACAGGGAGAAAAGTCTCATGACAGGTAGGGGTGTGATGTAGAGAAATGGAGTTCAGGATGCCTACCCGAGAGTCCTGAAGGAGAGAAGTTGGATTTTCTACATTTTACTTTTGATGAAATAAGCTGATAGCTCATTTTGAACTTTGGAAAATAACTGAAGAAATACTTAGAAATGTTAATGGAAAAATCTTGAACCTAGAATTTGCATAATAGAACTCTGTCTTAAACATGCTGTATTTATTAGCATACTTTGGAGCTCCCCAGGGGAAACTTTGTACCACATCTTCTGGTTCCAGGTGACACTAGGCAGAGATGCTTGATTGCATTGAGTTGGGAAGAGTTAGAATTCTTCCTGCTGCACAGAGGGGGCCTAATGGGAAGGGGAGAGTTTGTCTTGTAAAGGTCTCATCTTGGATTAAATTTGCTTAACCAGCATGTGTCAAGTGAAGAACAGTGGAATTTCTCCTCTTTCTGCCACGCCACTTCATCACTCATGCCCCTTACTTCTGGGGCAAGAATGAAAATGTAGGGCCTCCTCAGTGGCGCAGCGGTTGAGCACTGGGTTGCGAAGGTGCCCCCAGCCTCTGCAGCGCTGGTTCGATTCCTGGCCGCAGGGCGAGGGTCCCACATGGCGCGCAGACCTCTCCTGCTGCCTGCTGCTCCCCTCAGCAGTGTACTTCATTCCTTCTGCCTGCTCTGCTCCCCGCTCTGGCTCTGGTGAATTCTCTCACCCTCCCGCGCTTCTGACTATACCCAGTGCTTGTATAAACAAATAAATAAATCTTACAAAAAAAAAATCCCTTATCAAAAAAAAAGAATGAAAATGTAAAATGGACTTATACAATATCATGGGTCCTGAGACTGTAAACCAGTTCTGCCCCTTTTCTGAAAATCTCTCTAATATTGGATACTTTCTTCTCTCCTTTCTTCCTTAACAGTGTGTTCTCTCAAGTGTAAATTCATGCAGGCTTTGAGACCAGGTAGAATGTGGGGTGGCCATATCATCTTATTAAAACTCTCAGTGATCAGTTCCTCATCTATGAAATGGAGATATGTTTCTCACCAGGTGATTTTATATATGAGGATTTATATTTATATATTTATATGTATTATTTATATTTATATTATTGTATGTATTATACACACACACACACACAACCCATTAACACTTGGCCAGGCACATCATAAGTTCTTAATAAATGGCACCTATTATTATCATAGCAAGCAATCTTTATATAGTACCTAGACTAGTGCTTGGCATTAGGAAACCAAAAACTGGTAGAAATTATTATATTGCTAATTTTAGTAGCTTGTGAGGACCTCAAACTGAACATACTTCTTAATGAGGTCTGCTGAGCATTTTAGGTTTTCTTTCAAAACCAGGCCAAATACTCTGGCAGCAGGTGAGCAACACAGTTCCAGCAGGGCTGTGAGGCGCAGCTTGGCCTGCAGCTGTTTTATTGTGATGAGCAAATGCATATTTGAAGTCTTAATTTCGAGAATAAGAAACACATTCTAGTGAATAGGCCCAGATTATAGGGGGAAAGACTAAAAGTTTTAATGCAACTGAACTAGGTAAGCATTTATTAACTATTCTGGGAAGCAGCTAGCAAGACCCTTAGGGAGTGAGTAGTCCGGTTTATAGTGGTGCCTTATATTGTAGTTTTTGTTTTGATTTTTAGCTTAGGAAAAAACGTGGAAAGCAGATAGAAATAAAATAGAACTTCCTTGACTCTCGGCAGTACCATTTTGAGTCATTATGGAGAACTTGGTTTGGAATCTTGGCTCTGGAACTTGGGGACCCTGTGGCCTTGGACAAATTCTTCCCTGGACCTCACCATCCCTCTTCATATAATCGGTTTCTACTATCTCCATGAATGGGTAACTATAAGAACGACTGGGTAATTTCCCAGAAGCACTTCCAACAGTGCTTGATACTTAGTTCAGCCCATGTTTGTTATTATTTTTATCCCCTCCTTCCAGCTGCCAGAAGGATCTTTCTTTGAGGCACCATGACTGACTGATTCCAACTCAGAGGTGGCTAGCACCGGCGTGGTGTTAGAGTGAGTCTTACGTTGGTACCTTAAGTCCCATATGACTTTTCCAGGTGCTTGCAGAGTCCAAAAGCCTTCTTTTGTTGGTTTGTTTGAAGTGTGTGAAGTTTCTCACCCTCTCGATTTCAGTATTCTGGATTTCACACGGAAAGATCTGAATCCGATCACGACAGCCAGTGGGGCGGAAGCCCCCTGACCGACACAGCCTCACCGCAGCTCCTGGACCCCAGTGACAGGCCAGGTTCTCAGCACGACGCCTCCTGTGCCTACAGGCAGTTCTCCGACCGTGGCTCTCTGTGCTATGGCTTTGCGCTAGACCACTCCAGGCTGGTGGAGGAGAGGCACTTCCACACCCAGGCCTGTGAGGGAGGCCGGTGCGAGGCAGGCAGGTACTTCCTGGGAACCCCGCAGGCCGGGAGGGAGCCCTGGTGGGGCTCTCGAGCGGCCTTGCCCCTGACCAAGGCCTCCCCAGAAAGCAGAGAAGCCTATGAAAACAGCATGCCTCACATCGCCTCGGTCCACAGGATCCATGGTAAGAGCCAATGATTCCTGAGCTCACAGCATTAGACCTCTGGGGACAGGTTTATAACATTCTAGGTATGACATCAAAGTCATTTTTGAGATAACAAATCAGAATGTTATTTCATTGGGATTTAAACTCTCACCGATGGGATTTTTAAAAACCCTATCCATTCTTTTTAAAGTGTATTAATTTTACTAGTGTTTGCCAAATTTATTTATTTTTGAGGTTTGCGGAAGGGAGTGAAAGTGATTCCTATTTTACACATCAATAGAAACACAGAAGTTAAAGTGAATTGTTGAGTAAATCAATATTGTAGCATGCACACATTTACATTTCCTGTTTATTATTTTCTTCTGTAGTGTTTCAAATGTGACTAAGCCATTCTGGGGGGTCATTCAGTGCTGTTTCTCTTTGAGGATGCTGTTGGCATGTTGGGGAGACCCAGTCTTTGTTTACAGCCTGTCACTCACACGATAGGATGTTTAACCTCTCTGACTATCTGGGCTTTAAATACCAATTATTGCCTCAGTGCCATCGTTATGCCATTATGACAGCCCTGTGAGTAAAGGGTGGAGTGATATATAGAACCCACCTTGGGGAGTACAAGGCTTTACAAACACACAGAAATAGGCACTGCAGTGAAAACCTTTGGTGTTGGTAATGTTTTTTGTTCATTTAAAGTGCCTGTTCTATCCATGAGTTCTTTGAAATCCCCTATTTATTAAAAATCAGTGACCTTAAGATTGATCTGATGGCTCTGATACTGTTCTTGCTGTGTCTTAGTATGAGAAATGTGCTAGCTCATGTTGTACTCACCCACGAAATCTCCTGCCAGATACTACCCAGGCATCGACTGCCTTCTGTGAATGATTGTGTCTCCAAAATCATTTTGTTTTCTATTTTTCTACCTTTATGTTGAATTTCTCCCCATTTGGTAGACTGGCAATGGAAATCCAGGGCAAAGGGCAATTGCTTTCCAAAGAATAGAGTGAAGACAAAATCCTGGTTTAACCTACATGGTCTGGAAGAAAATATTAGAAATAAAATAAGAAGAAACAGGAGAAGGACACCAATGAATAGTGTGATCCAGGGCTTCTCTGCTGCATTAAGCATTTATAGCTTCCGAGTATCCCTTCCTAGTTCACTTCTCTCTCTTTATATTGACTTCAGGCGTTTTGAGAATATTTTAATTTTTGGAATATGTTTAGGATGCACTAGTCCTCCATATTAGAGAACTCTATTTGGTTTAAAACAGGTTGTTGTTAATAATTTAAATATTTATTCTTCACCTTATTTCAGAAATAATCTAAGTTCCCTGAGTTACTATGTGATTATGTGTGAAACTGAGGTTTTTTAACACTAGATTTGAAAAGACAATATATTTTTGAGTGAGACAATATGGAGCACATGTGTGAATATGTAACATTCCACTACTTTTTTTAAAAAAGATTTATTTATGCATACAAGAACTGGGGTATGGGCCAGAGGTATGGGGGGGGGGGCGGTGAGAGGATTCACCAGAGACAGAGTAGGGAACAGAACAGGCAGATCAATGCAAACACACTGACACTGCTGAGGGGAGAAGCGGGCAAGTCAGGAGAGGTCTGCTGCATTATGTGGGTTCCTCCCTGGCTGGGGTTCAAACTTGTGCTGCAGTAGCTGCGGACAGCCCCATAGGTTGCATCTTAACCCCTTGCGTCACCAGGGAGGCCACTTCTAATACTTTTAAAAACTAGCATTTGAGATTTTTTTTTTGGTAGCTACTAAAGATGTATTTCCAATATTAATATTTTAGATGATTATTTAGAATGGAGAAAATAGTTTAGCCTATTTCATTATCGTCATTTTCTTCAAACCTCAAAGCATTTTCTGAGCAACAATTTAACATAACACTTCTCTAGGAAATAACATAAACCAAATGCTATGCATTTTCCTTTTATTATTTATACCAGAGAGGTCCAATGATGTGCCTACATAGAAAAATATAAATGTACTTTGCATGACCATGAAGAAGGTTTACCTTCTAAAAAGCTTGTTATAAACTTTATTTGTTCTTAAAAGCCACCGAGAGCTATGAATTTCCATACAACATCTCAACATACATTCTGTCATGTGAACCTGTGCCTGTTTCAGATTTTGGTGCAGATATTAAAAAAATTAAGATATAAAGTTTCTGTTAATAAGAAAGAGAAATACATTTACTTTTTGGGGGTGAATTTTAAGACCACTTACTTTCACTTTCTCTAATTTCTAGGGCGAGGTCATTGGGATGAAGATAGTGTGGTCAGTTCTCCAGATCCGGGGTCTGCCAGCGAATCAGGTGACCGGTACCGCACTGAGCAATATCAAAGTAGCCCACACGAACCTAGCAAAATTGAAACTCTGATAAGAGCTACCCAGCAAATGATTAAAGAAGAAGAGAACAGATTGCAGCTAAGGAAAGCCCCACCAGATCAACTGGCTTCCATTAATGGAGGTGGGAAAAAACACTCCCTCTGTTTTGCAAACTACCATCAGCCCCCACCGACAGGTGAAGTCTGCCATGGCCCCGCTCTCGCCAGTACTTCCCCATGTGACCACATCCAGCAGAGAGAGGGAAAGATGCTGAGCCCCCATGAAAATGACTATGACAACAGTCCCACTGCATTGTCTCGGATAAGTAGTCCCAATTCAGATCGCATTTCAAAATCCAGTTTGATCCTAGCCAAAGACTATCTACATTCAGATGTGTCTCCTCATCAGACAGCAGGAGACCATCCCATTGTCTCTCCAAACTGCTTTGGCTCTCACCGGCAGTATTTTGATAAGCATGCTTACACATTAACTGGATATGCCCTGGAGCACTTATATGACAGTGAAACCATTAGAAACTATTCCTTGGGCTGCAATGGCTCACACTTTGATGTAACTTCCCACCTAAGGATGCAGCCCGACCCAGCACAAGGACACAAGGGAACATCTGTTATAATAACCAATGGAAGCTGATGTTTTTCTAAAATATTTTGTTCTTTAAGGATCTCTGAAGCATATTTATAGTTTAATGCCCAATTACCAGTGTTTACCATGCCTCAGATTTTTAGAGAGGATAATTTACGTTACTGGGTATTCGACATGTGTTCCTGTGAAATCAGAGAAAATCACACTAACATTCAGGGTTATATAGATAATGAAGCTAAAGTGAGCACACAAATTGCCCCTCAAATTACATGAGAATAGATAAAATTTGAATTAAAAAATACCTGTGTAGATTAGGTGAGCATATATACCACATGAAAGGACTTATGGATGATGTCAAATTATAATAATTCGGTGAACCACACACACACAGATTGCTAGCCACACTCTTCTGTATGTACTTTAATGCAGAAATAAAGACTATATACACCATAGATACACCCCAAGTGAATAACTTTCTGTAACCCTAGCACATTGAACTTCTGAAAGAAGTTTTCATTTCCAAAATAATTAAGAGAGATTATAAACTGGTTTCTTTGTGGTTTCAAATAGCAGGCTCATTTGGTTCAGGCATAAATTAGGGAAACAGTCCTAGATTTAGTACAAGAATGAATTTTCACCTGGCATGCATTATCAGCAATCAGGAAGTGGTGATTTTTCACCTTACTTTTGAGTTAGACAAGGAACAGGATCACATTGACATAGCAGTAAGGGCTTTCCTAAGTAAAAGCACTGAGATAGATGTCAGGATACACATCAAAAAACCTGGTGTGCTCAACTTGAAATAGTAGAGACGGAAAGGCCAAAAACAGAGTACAATGAAGTGATCTCAAACAAGTAAAGGCTCAGAATATGTACTCGATATATTTGGCCAACCAAATAAAAAATTCAGACCAATTCACCAGGAAAAAATGCTGGTAAGTGCAAAAAAAAATGGCTAAGGAAAACTGGTGACATGCTGCATGACAGCAATGTGCTTGAAAACATCTCAAAGCACAGATGTGCAAATGTGACAACATGTGGAAAGCCTCTGGAGACAGTCTAAGCAAAAGACTGGTAGACAAGTGTTTAGGAAGGCAAAGCAGTACTCTGACTGAGGAACAGGCAACACATTAGTTTTCTTTATTGCTTGTAAACAACAAAAGCAGCAAACTTGGTCTTCAGTTCATGTGATAAAGTAGAAAGACCAGGAGACCAGATACCAAGATACCTGGGTTCCAGTTCTGACCCTGTCTTTAAACTTATTTTGGGAACAGAGATACATCACTCACCATACCTAGGCCCCAGTGTCTTCATCTCTGTGGCGGTGCTAACACTTCATGGTCCTGGGGTTCACTGATGTGGCAAAACTAAACTTGTTAGCCAGTTAACTCTCTGTGTGAGTTGTCAGGACTGATCACTCTGACTTTCTGCACTCGTACAGAGGTCTGAGCGCTTTGTAATTTGAGGAGGTGCATGGGTTCCCTTAAGCCTGTGTAGTTACAGTTGACTTTCTAGGTTCAGTCAAAGTGTAGATAGAAACTGAGGAGGGAGAAGAAAGTAAGATTTACTTAGCACATTATTTTCTAATGCACAGTGACATACACAATGACATAGATAATTAGTGAACTTTCATAGGTAATATTTACTGGGAGGCCCATGCCTAGACTTTTGCCGTATTCAAGGAGGGGAATGTATTGAAAGAACTTGATTTACAATTTCGAAGACAGTCCGTGGCATTGAACACTCAGGGATTAGTGCTGTGTTTTCATTATGTAATACAGTTATTTGGCATCCATAGGTAGGTGACAATCTGAATGATGATAATCCAAGAGATAAGTACTGGATGTTTGTATATGAGAAAAGAGGCTACTTAAAATTAAATATTTCTTGGGTGTGACAGAGCAACATTTGTGCTGCAAATGGAAAAATGCAAGTAAGTGAGAAAGTTAGTGGTTATATATACTTTCAAATGTTCAAAATACATTAAAACTAAACTTTGAGCTATATAAAAAAGTATTTAGTAATTTTGAGAAAGACATTTATGGGAACCTCCTAGAATACTTAAAATGGATCTTACTCAATTTGCAATATGAAGTTTTAGGAATGCTAAAGTTTTTGCAGAATTCTGTAGATGCATAAGTGGTTCAAAGACAAAAATATCTGAAGAATATGGTGTAATTAGAAAGAAAATCTATACATAATGGGTTTTACTAATGGATATACCTTCTAAAAATGTCAGGGATAGATGCTTAAAAGAAATAGACTCTTAAGGATCACGGAAAATGAACTAATATGAAAGAAAAGACTGTCAATGGAATGGTTATATGGGAGATAGTTAATTGATGAAAGAAAGAAAGTATGAGCTTTACAAATAGGGGATAATCAGACGGAAGCATGAGCTTTCATATGGTATAGCCAATATTTTTAAGTGAAGATAGAATTAACCAAATTACATCTTAATTAAAACTTTCAGTGAATTGACTGAGGTTCAAATACACAGCCATTTAATTTCCTGAGTATCAACTTTATAGTAACAGATTTATTACATTACTTGTAATGCCTTATAGGCCCACAGTATTTTATATATATGTAGCTTACTTTCTTGCAATGTGGCATGTTTATTACAAAATAACCCAAAATAAGTCAAGACAGTTTCATGACAAGGTTGTTTAAATACACACATCAATGTGTTCAAATGTATTTATAATCTGTATTATTTTGTTCTGTACAGGGTCATATTTCCTCATAATGAAGATGTCATCTGTGTCTTTTTAAATTATGGGATGTAAAATACATATGTTCCCAATAACTTAATAAGTTAAAATTAAACTTAATTTGGCTTTAGTTTTAATCTTTGATTTCCATAACTTGGGCAAATACTGAGGATCATGATACTTGATTGAAATAGAAAAAGAAGAATGACTTTTTTTTTAAGTCGGCTTGGGGAGTCACAGAAATGTGCTATATCTAATTATTGGTACACTATGTAGTAATTTGTTAGATGACACAAATTTCATGCTTTCTAGTAATAGTGAGAATAATGTTATTTCCCATTTTACCTGCCTGCCATTCCTAAAATTTTGGATGACCAAAGAAGTAAATGAATATTTCCCCAGTCTTTCTTGGGAAAATTTTGTTAAAATTATTGAGAAAATGAAGATTTGATGTATTATTTTTGGATAATAATATTGTTACGATAATGGCAGTTCAGATATTTAGGTGTACTTCATTCAGCTCCACAAGTCTTTTGACATACTTTCCTGCCTGACTATATGAGCTTTCTTTTCTAAACTGCACTTGCCTGATATAGGATAATATGACACAGTGCTGATGTGATAGTCAAAATGACACAGGATGCAATAAATAATTTCCCTTCTATGTTTATATAGAAAAAATATTTGTTGTTTCTGGATTATATTTTATAGGTCTAGGGCATTTCCATTGGGTACTGTTCTTAATTCTTCCTGTACCCTGCTGCCACAGGCTGCCTCTGGCCAGAGAATTCCACTTGACATAAGCTTTAATGGGGTCCTCTAGACAAGGATAATATACTTCTTTTTCTTTCTTAATGGACAATGAGGATCAAGTCAATAAAAGATCATTTGGAAAATATGCACAGATATTTAATAAAAAATGAAAGACTTTCCCCCCTCAAGACCTAGACCAAATAAGTTTGCTAGAAAACACTACAACTAAAGAGACATTCTGAATAGGGACATAATATTTTATGGTTCTCTCTCTTTCTGTAGGAGGGTATTAATAATATTCAGTGCAATTCTGTTACTACTAGTAGTACTTGGCTGTAACACAGTGAATGCTGGTATTTGGAAAACTGAGAATTTGGTCATTTGGGGTCCCTTACCTTGCCCAATGAAATAGCTTACACTTTAGTATACTATCTTTGATTTAAAAAGTTTGAATGCACAGATTTGACTTCCAGTTCATGCAAATCACATATATAAGCCCTATTTTCTGAATGACTTCATAAAGAATGTAAATTCTATGGTTCTCCAAATTACAGAGTCAACTTTCATGTAAATGTCAGTTTTTGTGAATAGAAATTTGACTGTAAGACAGCAAGATCTATTGGCTGGTTCTTTCTGCGAAATGCATTGTGGACAAAAATACGAATTGTTCTAAATTTTAAATGAAGGACTGAATAGCTATGGACATACGCAAAGGGTATCTTCATATAAAATATTCTTGGGGGAAATTTCTGTATGGTGCTCATTTCTTGTGCACACGAGTTGTACGGGTAGTGCTTAACTCAAAAAATGATATTTTGCTCATATCCAAATTGAGGTTTGTTCAGAGTTCCTTCTGTAGGACTGTATGCAGCAAGGCTGAATGTGTGTGTATAAATTATATATATGCATATATGTACACACACACATACAATTGTAAAGAAGGTAAAAAAATTCTATTTTGCTGTGCTCTTTTAAAAATGATGATTCACACAAGAAATCCTAATTAATGATTTTATGCTAAACACTTACAGTTTTATTTATTGCAATATTGCTGCATGGGACTTTGCTTTCATAAACTATATAGTAGAGAGTTTTCTAATTTGCTGATCTGGAACACATTTAATCACATTTGAATTTACACACAACAACCCTGGTGTGTTTACATTACAAAGGAAAGGAAATCAGTGTGGAAAGTTTTTTAGAAGTACTGTAACGTTTTTCTGTTTGTTTTTCTGTTTTATTTTTCCCCAAAGGAAAATATTTCAGAAAATGAAACATATGAGTAGGCACTTCAAAAAAAAAAGAAATATTTTTTGTTTTTTTGACTGATATGCTATAAAAAGGATTATATTTGTGAAAGAAGATACTGATTGCCAATATTTCAAATACCATCTTACAATGTATAGTTTTTAGTAATACAGTAGTATAAATCTGTAATTTGAACTTTTTCTTTGGAATGTAAAGTAGAAAATATTAGCTATGTCAATGATATCTTGCAAAGTGTTCCCATTTATAATTATTTATATTGTAAATAGCTTTCTGAAGTAAATTTGAAGTTAATGTGCATAAAATGTATTTATTATGTGAGAATTTTTTTGTTTTAAAATATAGTTACCAATATGCAGTTTGAGTCTGAATTATTCATTGAAATGAAAATCTCTATAGGACAAAACAGAGTGTCAACTAAAGATTAGAACTATAAGAAGAAAAGGACTGTTTTAGCTCTGGATTATGTTGGAGTGGATAAAGACACACACACAGAATGGAATGGAAGCTTATAATATGTATGATAACTATTACATAATTGTCCTCTAGACTTTAGACAATGGAGAATGGTTTCTCATTGCTTCATTAGAATTTCTTAAGCAGGACATATTTTGTCTCTGTTTTGCTAAAATAATGTGAGAAATACGAAAGTACAGATTATATTTTTAATGTCCAAGAGAAAAGAAAACTAATAACGTTGAGATTACTTAGCTTTCTGCCATTCTAAGGTACATTAAAGAAACAGCTTGAGTAATTTTTATTTTGGAAGGCAAAGTACTTTTTAAAAATTCAGAATTTGGAATTAAGGTCAAACAAGAAAATATTTCCAGGAAGTTCTATCAAAATATTTTTGTAGTGCCCAATATGTCTTTCTCCTCCAGGGATTTCTGGAGAAATCTTGATGTATTCTAGAAATTGTCAACTATTAGCCAACTCAGCAAATACGGTATATTTTTTAATTAATTGGAAATGCTTGTACTTCATAAAGTGTTCTGACAAAACCGCATATTGTCATTCATATTATAGCATTTATCAGATATTTTCCAACTTAACTCTTTAAAATACTTGTTTTAATGTGTTTGTTTCACAAAATAAAATTATTGTCACCTACATTATATTTTCAAAATAGCTCCACCCCCAGTTTAATCTACAACATTAATGGAATACCTATTTTGTGGCTCAGATGGGTCTCTCATTGCAGGGTGTTATAAGAAAGCACATACAGGGGGTCTTTGATTTTCCTTATGTGCTTTGAAAGTGTAAATTCTTTAGATAATCATAAAAATGGCAAGCCTTTATTGAACCATCATGTGCCAGGCATTGAAGCAAGCTCAGACCATCAGTGAGGTCTGAGGAGAGATCATCACAGAGACAAATAGCAACATGTTCCATCTCATTAGGAGGAAAGTGAGACTCAGAGGGGCTCAGTATCTCAGTGACATGAATTGGTGAAGACAAAATTTGAGCCCAGGCAGGTTAACCCCCAAACTTTACCTTACTGCATTCTGCTTTCTTTAGGTTAGAAGAAAATTAAGTGATAAAAAACTGTCCAAGTCGTGGTGGCATGAGACAGGTCCCATGATCCAGTCAAATGGTGACTCGGTAGCTCCATGTCCAGTCTTAAGAATGGCAAATTATCCTAATGGGATCCCCATCATGTTTGAAAAATTTTTGAGGCTTTCTCAATTGACAAATGATAAGGGCTTAATAAGTAATAATTAAAAACGATATTCCTTTTCACCCGACATTTTCCAGATATGAGCTCAAAGAAGAGTATTACTGGGCCTCCCTGGTGGTGCATGGGATTAGGACGCAGTGCTGTGAAGCTGTCCGCAGCCTGTGCAGCACGAGTTCAATCCCCCGGCCGGCCAGGGAGCAACCCACATGGCGCAGCAGACCTCTCCTGTCTTGCCCGCTGCTCCCCTCAGTGGTGTACTTCGGTCGATCTGCCTGTTCTCTTTCCTGCTCTTCTCTGGTGAATCCTCTCACCCCCCATACCTCTGGCCTGTACCCCAGCTCTTGTATGCATAAATAAATAAATCTAAAAAAAATTACTACTTCATGGTAGTCATTAAATACTATATTTCGTGCCATGAGAAACTTTCTTCTGCTTTGGAGAAGGATAAACCAAGGCCTGCTCAACCAAGAGCCAGTATGGGTCCATTTCAGGGTCTGGTTTCCAAGATAATTTGCAGGTAGGTCAGGGATGTTGCCACATAAATGTGTTTTTCTCATTTGAAGGGAAAGTGCCTGAAAGTTGCCTGACAGGGAGGCTGCCCCTTAGAACACAGATGATTCCTACGAGATGTCTTGAAGCCAGGGCCTGAGCGGCGGGGGTCACTCTGTCTCTGGCGGCCTTCGTGACGGTGGTAACTCCTGGGTGCCAGGCAGCCTGTCTTGCCATCTATGGCTCCTAACCTCTGTCTCACTGTGTCAGGAGGGTCAATCCTCTGTAGCACTTTGTGGCCTTTTCATAATTATGTTTTATAACTTAATATGTGCTGTATTTGCCGATGGAATTAGATCCAGGGTGGGAGAAATGTAAAACAGCCCCTGCTTTGGGAGTTTGTAAATAATCTCTGCTTTGTTCAGCTTCCCCCAGGTCAGGCTCCTGTGTGGGGAGTAATTCCATATGGGAATCTTACTTGAGTGCCATCTAAGTAAACCTTCAAGGGAATCTTGGCAGTATCTCCCAAGCCATAAGGAAGTCATTCTCAGTTTCTGGTGAGGATTTTCTGATAGCTTTGTTGGTTTATATAAAAAAAATACACCAATTGAACCTGAAGAGTCTTTCTTTGATAAGGTCTCCAGAGTTCACTTGGGAATGGGTAATAGGGATCTAATGCAAGAAGAATCATTCAAATAATAACGAAGGTTCATTGTTCAGTGCATTTCAACATTTTTAATGTCCAGTTTCAGCCCTTGCATTAGTCACGTGACCCATTAGTTAGGCTAGCCGGGCTTTGTCTATGGTGCCATGCTAAATCAATCTTTTTTAATTTGAAACACATGTTTAATAAACGTTTGCAACTCTGTTATATAATTAAATATTATCAAT